CCTGAAAAATAATATTCAATCAGTATATCGGCTCGCCTTTCGATATTTGCATTTTGGAATATAATCGTGAAGACCAAACTCTGAGAGGTAGTTTGACTTCTAAATCACGTTTTCGAAATGTAGCCGTACAGATAAAAAAGAATAGTTATGTCATTTCCATTCTGTAATATTTTTAATAAAATCAGGTATCTTACGTCGTGTGCTTTCCTTGAGATATTAAATTGATGATTCACACAGTATATACTGTATTTGGATACAACTAATTGAAAAGTATTTTAATTGTATAATTTACTTTTTACGGTGGGAATAAAATTTTGATGAAACGTCTTGCAAAAATGAAAATTAATGTTCAACAAGTAAGCTCTGTATCGATATCAATACAGGATATCAAAATAGATGAATTCGTTCATTAGTCACATTTTCAATTCTTGTCTTATGTATCAGTTCTTTCCTTACATTCTTCAAAATAGAAAACGGAAGATCGATAGGTCGGGATCGATGGAGGGGAAAGATAGCGAAAAAAAATGTGTTAACCGTCGTTGAAGTCCCAAACTTTCGCTACACTGCGTCAGTTTCTTTTTTCGGACGGAAAAAAAATAGCAGAGCCCACTCCTAATAGGGAGGACACAACTTTCACCTGGGAAAAGTCTGTTTTCGAGTTTTTTACGAGCCTTTCGGGGAGAACCTTAGACCTACGCTGGACAAAGAGACACAAAATATTCTACGACCGTAAAAAAGTAAGAGTCGGATACTACCCTGTCTGCTCGTAGTCTTCTTTCAGATAGAAGAGATATATTAGCTTCGACAACATGGAAATCTCACGTTTTACGGACATTCGCACGCAATAAGAGGACACTTCTTTTCCTTTGCCGTCTTTTACTATCCGCGAGAGAATTTTTTTCTCCGTGATTTTGTAAAATGCAATACTTTATCTTTCTTTTTTTTTTTTAAACAAAGGACTAAATATGCGATCGATATGGTAGAAAATAGTAGCACCTGTGTGCGCTGTTCTATTAGCAATACGGTCATCGGAGAGAGATAATTAACTTTGCGACTTTGCGTTATTCCGTTCCGCCTTCTATATTTTGTTCCAACAGCATCTCTCTCGCGCGCTCTCTCTCTCTCTCTCTCTCCCTCTCTCCGTTTTGAGGAGCGAGAGAGCAAAACGCAGGATGCGACAATATCCGGCGCCCCGGCGTCCGACAACTGATAACGCCAAGGGATGTTTATGTGGTTGTTCATAATAGGTTCCAAGTTACGCCCGCACGTTTGAATACCGGAGCGTAAGTACTAAAAGTACTAAATTTTCTATCGATATACGCAACAAATGCTAAATATATTTATGTAGTTGATTCTAATCGTGTAATTAATTTCTAACTTAAACAGTGTATATAATCCGATTAAAATTAGTCACCGTAAGAGATTCTTTATTTACTACTCGAGACATTTTCGGATTGTTTAATAAATTACATATTATGCACAAATTACATCACTTTAATTGAGCCGACAAAAGTTGAGATAAAACGGGAGGATAAAAATTTAACATTAAATTAAAAATTGTAAATGTTACTCCCACGGCGCATTATTCGTAATTAACAATAATAAGGTTTTTAACGATATTCGCGTATTGTGGTGAACTTGGCAATAATTTCGAGCGGGCAAATTTTATCGATGCCGAATGAATCAACCCATAAAAAGGGAAGTACTGCCAGCTCAATGGCTTTCGTATCTATATGTAAATAAAGTAGAAAGAGCTGGTGCAGGGAAAAGAAGAGGCAGCTATTTCTCTCCACGGAGCGTCGCGTAATTTACGTGAGGACTGAAGATAGCGAAGGGACTTAATTCACGTGCCACCAACGAAAAAATAAAATGGTCCCCTGCGAGATGGAAACATCATTCGCTACTCTTAATTTTCTCGATCGCATAAAATTAGCGAACACGGCACACGCAGTGCTTTTTAAATTAACAACCGATACAAAATTACATCTTATGGGAAAGATATCAAGCTATAAGGTTTTACCGAAGCGTGAAAGTGTTCAGAGCGATTATTACGAATCACGAACTATTGTTGCTATAAATGTTATGTTACATTGCTATTCTTGTTGCTAACGTTCTGTCACGTCGCTACTATTCTTTATGCTGAAGTTACGCTCGATCACTTGTACGTTGCTGAAGTTACGTTATTACATTGTTATATTTTTAACATTACGTTTGCTGGAGGGTCAATTATTTCTCGGGAAAAACACGTTTTGTGTCATAGAAAAATTCTTTTCTACTTTTCATTCATCTCCCACAAACAACTCTTTCTCCCTTTTTCGTGCCGGTCTTAACAAAGCGATGGATTAGTAAATACTGAAAAGTTCCTGGCGCGACTTTTTAACAAAATATGGCAGGTCTGTTTTCGCGTCGAATAACATATTATAGTCAATTTTTTCCCGATAGAGGAATACTCGATGCGCGCATTTGACTTTTTGATTCTAAGGGATCATAACGTACTCCTATAGACTGAAATAATAGTTTGCCACGGCTGCCACACCCAGTATTGTGTGCACACATACTTATATGCCCGTCGCCTTATGCGCTTGCTTTGGCATTTTACATAGGGCGGTATGTACCAATGATATATAATACGTTACGTTGAACGCACCTACACGCACACTTATACATATCGGCAGGTACATACGGCTGTATACAAAGATCTATGTCTAAATATAAGTGTGTAGGAGTCATGGGGGTTCGAAGAGACAGTGAGACGCGTATGTTGAATGAGAAAGAGAGAAAAATAGCACGAAAAGTCTGTTGTGTGATTGGTGGAGGGGATGCATAGAGACAGGTTGGTTCCTTGAGGAGGAGGGGACACAGAAGTACACGACAGGGGTTGGTGGGACGGCGGTGGTGGTTCTTCGTTCGTTCACGTTCGTTTCTGCGTCCCCACAGACGTCCGACCGCTGATCTACGATTCCCTCGCGCATAGCGAAGCACATAACTTTCATCTTATACCTCCTCGTGAGATCCGTACAATGATATTACCATCCACGTGTTTGGAGGCAACCCCGAATAACAGCAAGAACAAAGGGAAATGCCGAGGGAGAAAAAGAAGGATGATGATTTCACGAGAGGAAGTTGTTAAATCTTCCGAACGCCTTCGCCTTCGAGAAACACGTATTTTAGAATTTTGGTATTCACACCGAACGACCAGCTACGGAGTGGAAAACGGCGAGAAAATGGCGAGGACAATCTGATAAATCTCGAAGCATGACAATTTGTGAGAAACAGAGAGAGAGAGAGAGAGAGATCACACACACCGATAGAGCGTGAACAGCTAAAAAGGCGGGAAACTATAAGTCACCGTTAAGATACGATGAATACAAAAAGTTTGTACACTACTAGTGATAAACAGACTATGCAAATCAGTACTCGGTTGCACCGAGAAATATTTTCCGGCCGAAATTTATTGCATTGGACAAGTGACGCAACGAGAAGCTCGTTAGCACGAAATTTGTCACGGAATTATTCGATCGATAAGAAATGTGTGCGGAAGAATATCGTCGCTACTTATATTCCCCCGAACTCGAAAATCTTGAAGATACAGAGCGAGTATTTTGTAGCGTTGCCCAAGGAGGGAGAGAAGAATGGAAAGTATCCGCCCCTTTCCTCGCCCAGGTTGAACTCGTGCAAGCGGTTAACGCAGCCATTTCACGCCTCGGAAAGCATCCAGCTTCCTCATCCAAATTCTAACCGAATCCACGGAAACCTCTCTCTACGGCCGTGGTACGAGGATTTCTATTTAGCAGTGACTGGAAAATGGTAGAGACAATTGAGCGAGATAGGGAATGAACACATTACCATCCCGCAAAAAATTAATAGAGAAAACGGGAAGAGAAAATGGAAATATATCTAAAATATTTTCCCGTCGATCCTCTTTCGTTAATTATCGTTTCATCGTGATTCAACGATCACAGTGAGCCATTCTCGAAATTATTACATTGAGTGACAACAATTTATACACCATCTTGCAAGTCTGTCGATATTACCTCTTCTTCATCGCGAAATTGTCATCAGGCACGTGATAAAACCGAATCACCGTTCCGTTCTTGACGATGGAAAATGGATCAAGGTGTATCTGAATTTCGTCGTTTTCTCTTCCCTCTTCTTTTTTTTTTCTTTTTCTACGAAACCCGTGCCGCGAGTTTTTCCATAAATCGGACCGATCCCTACCTCTCGCTACGTAGCAGAACAGCTTAAAGTAAGTATCGATCACGGAGGTTGAGGGAATTACGGTCCGTGAGCGATTCTCCATTGCCTATACCAAGTGGTTATTTCTGCCATACGTCGTATGCCATAGGAAAGGGGCGGCAACCGCAGCAGCACGACTGTCCTTTCTCTCACCCTCCGTCGGCGTAGCCATACTCGGCTACCCCAATTCCATCCCCAAGAGCCAATATTTATTGATCACCCTCGAAGGCATCGTTTCGTGCACTTTCTCTTCTCGCGCGCCCGCTCTTTCTCTCTCTCTCTCTCCCTATCTCTCTCTTTCCATGTGTCCCCGCCCGTTAAACCCTTAAAAAACAGACGTCGTGCTTCCGTGGCCTCGCTGAGGCGCTCTCGCAGCTGTTCTACGTGATCCTTTTCCGTCTTCTTGCAAGGGACGATTTCGCTCGAGCCCTCCACGATGAAAATTCACTCTACGACTCTTTATTCTTGGAAGTTCACCTTCCACGTCGATCGCGACGGAGAGGAGTAATTCAACGAGACGCGGGGGTCGGCCGGGAGAGCGAGCATGACATCTGCGTGGCTCCCGAGAACCCAAGCGGAATAAATTTGATAAGGAAGAGGCTCTCCAAACTTTCGACTTTCCTATAGAATCGAGAGATTTCGATAGACGACGGGGGGTGACGGGTGGGGGCAAGGAGGGGAGGGTACCGCAGGACGGGAGAGGAAATTACTGTATAATCGAGAACAATAATTTCGGAATAAGCTCCGATAAAAGCAAAACTCACCTTGCAACCATGTCCAATGTGGCTTAGCGATATTATCCTTACCTGAAACAGAAAGAGAAGAACGAGCTCGCGTGAAATCAGTGATCCGGTGATTTTTCACCTACCGGGAATTTATCATACGCGCGCTCCGTCTCCCGCACGCGTTTCCCCCCGCTTCGTCCGGCTAACGAATCGCTTCAATCTCCGATTGGCGATCGCTATCTGCGTGATAACGTCGTTGTTCGCGCGGCCGAATTATTACCGCGCTAAAAATGAAAAAAAAAAACGCACACACGCGTCCGGCCCGCGGCCGTATTTCACAGCTCGACGGCCCGGGCTCGTTTTTCTGGGGTATTATGGACTGTCGTAGGGCGAATTATACAATCGTGATAGCGCATTGTTGCCGGTGCATGCGCGCATCTCACGGCCGCGGGCCGCCAAATGATCCAGAACACCATGGGGAATTGGTTCAACGGCGAGCAGGCGGGCGGGGAGAGGGGGGATGGGTGGGGGAGGAATAGGACCGCGGTGTTATAACTAACCGAACTGATCTACGACCTGTTTAGTAGTTCTATATCAGCGCTACACCATGCTCCGCTACACGCAATCGAATCGCCTCCTCTGCCGATAATATCTAACTTAAGGACTGAACTGGGCAACCCCACCACCAGGCCTGTGCACGCACGCGAGAACGCATGGCCGGCAGCCCCACTTTACACGTGAGCAAATATACTCGATATGATCCGGGCCCGCGCGAAGAAGAAGATAATGTCGGCGATAGAAGATTGCGGCAATTCAGCACGTGCGCCGCGCCGCCGCCGACCGCAAAAAGAAAAACGCGGGGAGGGGGGCAAAAAAAGAAGGAAAACCCGCAGCCCGCGCGCACGGCGTTTCGTCCGTTCGTGGTCAACGTCGGCCGTTCCCTACATATTCGACCGTAGACAAATCGCGTATCGTATTTTCCAGGCATAATGTATACCCGGGTATAATGTGTACCCGCGACATGCGCACCGCGCCATTAGTGTGCAAAATCCAGCAGCCGACCGACGTTTTTCATCAAGCGCGGCCGAGAGATTGTCGTCAAGATGAAAAACAACGATGGCTGTTAATAGTTTAATACCACGCGATCGATGCTCCGGGATGTATGGTTTTTCTTTTTTCCTCGTGCGAATATATAAATATTTATTTCTCGCCGGCGTAATGAACGCTTTTATCCGTGGTCCTCGTGTTGCTGCCCGTCGCGAAAACCTGTCGGCTGCCGAAGAACCGATTTACCGATCGCGTTAGTTAACGAGGACGTAACAAGCCGTCAAGCTGACAACGTCGCGGGTATCTCGCCATACCTCTCAATACATACATACATACATACATACACACACACACATACATATATATATATATATATATATATATATTTATTAATTTAGAACAATATCCTGGCGGTCTCGACGTGGGCTCGCTGGGATCGTAAATCGGCCGCGAAATCTCATATTCCCATCATAGCGCGCTCGCGCGCGGAACGTCTCGTTCTTCCGCCAGTCCGGACTCCGGTGTCCCAGCCCCGATGAATTGATAATCCAAAGGGATCCCGCGTTATTGCTTCCGTACCGGGCTCTCTCCGTAGTGGTGAAAATCTGCAGACCGGTGACTTACGACACATTGGCGGTGACTGGTTATTAGATTATTGGCGGTATCGACAGCCCATGCGTTGCCCCGTTCGTGCAGAATTGGAGAGCACAGGCTGCTGCTGGTGGAGACCGGGTCTCTCTCTGTTGGTGATGGTGTCACCGGAGGTGGCTCTCTCGTACGCACCGCGTACAAATAGACGGGTTCGAGGGGGGTGGAAGAGGGGCCGGCGGAAGGGGAGACGGTGTGGAGGTGCTGCAGTACGGTGAGGCAAAATGGGGAGACCATGATAACGATAACGTACGATCGGCATTAGCTGGCGGCTTGCTGCGGCTGATGGATGCGCTAATTATCAGCAAGCAGGAGTTACAGTGGTTACCGCGTACGCGTGGTCCGTATGTGTGCACGATAACTGTCTGTTTTCGATCAGAACCTATGCGAAAAGTGTGGGTCCGGGGGGAAGAGAGGAAAGAGAAGCTTTCGGAAAAGCGCGCCGGATATTATTTAACGGGGCAGCATCGAGAGAGCGCGATATCGGGAATCGCAAAGAGAGGGGAATGGGGAGGGGGGGAGTGGTTTCGCGCGGTTGATAGATAATGTACGAATTCCCGTGGACGCACCCCCTCCCCCCCTCCTTCGATCGCTCGAAATCGTCGACGGCGAATATTTCCGTGAAATATACCGTCGAACGCGCGTCGGAATCCTAAATTGTTCTCGAGACAATTTTCAGCGTCACACCGCTGACCATCGGCCACCGGAATTACACGGGAATCGGTGCCCCGTAATGAACATCGCGCTTGTTTATTTAATGGGAAATTCGGTGGAGTCATAAAACTCGAAGAAGGGGGTGAAACCTATTAAATTTATGCTTTTGGTTTACCCGGTCTGACGGATCGCAATGCCCGCACGCGTCGACCTCCAATCCCCATCCTCCCCGTACAGCTCAACGATTCCCCTACCCTCAAACTCGCCATCTCTGCCATCTACTACCCTCTACCCACTTCCACTATACAGGTCAACCATCTCATTCCCTCTTGTTCATTTCGGTTCATTCTCCCGGTATTTCTCTCTCGTTCTCTCTCTCTCTCTCTCTCTGTCTCCCTCTCTCCCACCCCCTCGCTCTCTTTCTCTCTCTCTCTCTCTCTCTCGCTGCCCCTCTCGCACCCCCTTCTCCCTTGCTTTTGCAACGGTGGCGCATCGTGTGTGTGCGTGCCTGTGTTTATCCTATTGGTAGTCCAATGTAATCCAACGGAGATATATTCTGCTGCCTAGGGGGGTTCGGTCGGGGATTCGTGGTTCGCGCTGCGGCGCCCATCGTGACGGACAACGACGCGTCAGCGTGTAAAACGTCGTCGCAATTCTGCGGCCAGACTGCGCGAAATGCGCGTTTTACCGGTTATCGCGGCCGCGCTTGATATTAGTGTATGAACACAACGCGGCGCGCGTTAAATCGCGGGGCATTATTTTCTCGAGGTTGCGCGCGCCTCATTTTCGTCGCCGTAAATACATCACGGTGATGAAACTCCCACAGCTCTCGCGAGAGCTGGCCGGGTCTGCTATAAAAAATTGACAATCTCCTCCCGGCGAGCCAGCGAAGGAGGATCCTACAAAGCCCCGGTGGTGGTAACCGAAGAAGAATCTGCCGGGGGAAGAACGACCGTCCAATTTTATCCCTTTTGAATCCTCCTAATTACCAAATTTTCCTCGTCCTTAATTTAGTGTTATAATTGCTTCCTACCCCTCTCGCAAGGGCTGGTAACACGTCGCGGCTCGTGACTACCACCCCCTGCGCGCGATCCCTTATATACATCCATCCCCGTCCCCCAATATCTTCTTATACAGGGCTACGCCTTCTACAAAGTTTACCCTCCCTCTTGCGCGTTCTTTATCGCGGTCTTCGCAGAGAGGGTGATACATCCTCCCTTTAACGTGCATTTAAATGACCCCGATAATTCCATTGATTGGTACACTAACCGGCGAGCGCGAGCGATAACGTTACATCATTCCGCCATTTTTGTCACCCTGAAATTTCCGAGATAATAAGCTTCCGCGCGCCCGACCGAGCGATTATTAACCGAGGGAATAGAGTAGAGCTCGGATACACACCCACCGCGTACGTTTCCGCACGAGAGACGAGTATCTAATTATAACTTCATCTGTAGGTCAGAAAACGCACTTAGTGTATCGCGAATAATGCGAAAAGACGGTGGCTACACGTGCGGCGCGTTCCATCCAGTTAGCTGCGCAGTCACGTTTCCGACCGTTTATGTTTGTGCAACACCGCCGGCCCGCATCGGCGAGTACGTAAGCTCGAGATTCGTTTCTTGCGTCGCCGAACGCGCGCCGGCCATAACACCGGGCGAAACCGTTTTCTCGTCAAAACACTCGCCGGTGCCGATCGCAAGCAAATCCCGCGTTTAGCTCCATTTCGCCATCGAGCCTTAACCTTGGCTCCTCATGTTCCGGTCCGCTATTTAGACGAAGTAATACCTCGTTTTCAATAGGAAGTGACATTTCTTTCGTCAGACATTAGATATCGTACCACCGAAGAAGGAGTTCTCGGACATTTTCCTAAAAGAGTACACAACTCTGATTATATCTCCTCCACACTCGTGCGATTCTACAGTTTCCAACACGAAACATTTTTTCCTCTCTCAGTTTCAACGCTCCTCGTAAAAGCAAGTACGAGCAGCGAAATGTAAATCGCGGTATAGACGAATGTTGGGAAAGAAATCTGAAGCCGATATCCTCCTTAAAGTTCGGCCGGTGTTAAACTCGTGGTTGTACAAGCTCGCGATCCGTCTCCATGAGTCGGCCCCGCGTTGAAGTAAGCATGCTGAAACTCGGGGATATATTTTTGTCCACCGGGGCTCCGAACTTTCGGGGGCCGTCGCATTCGGTCGCATCGCTTTGGTTTACGCCGCGGATATACGAGTGCCAGCGGCGAAAGAAACGGAACCATCGGTGATCCATCGGCGGCGGGCGAGAGCCTCCCCCCTCCGGAATGGAGGACGGGAGGTCGAATAGCGCTCTGTGCGCGCGGCATACAGCGAAGTTAGAGCAAAGTTGCGTTTCTCCCCTTCTATGTAGCGCGAAGCATCCAGCAAGCACGCATAATACAGCGCGGCGCTCCGGCGATATTACGTCGAATGGCGTATCTAAAAGTTGCGGTACATAAGCCCCGAACCGGCGCCGCGCGGTTCGTGTTTTAAATGCACACGAGAATACATACGCGATAAGCTGTGTGCCAAAATTATGTCGACTCTTAATATCTTTAATGGCCCGCAATGTTTTTATCGCGCGCGCGCGCGCGCTTCTTTCGCTGTCCGCCTCTCTAACGTTCCGCCCCCGATGCGAAATAGTTTCCTTCGGCGCGGACGGCGAGTTCGGGGCAGTTCGCGATAAGTCGACGCAGCTGTCGCAAAGAAAATTACAAA